GTGTGTGTGTGTGTGTGTGTGTGTGTGTGTGTGTAACCTCTGCAGGTACAGCCAATCCCAATCTGGACCATTCTTCACATACCCACATAGTGACACACGCCTGACAGTTTCTCTGTCTCGTCTGGTGACTATCAAACAGGCCAAGCAGTTTTACACTACGGGGTGATCTGAGGTGACACTCTTAGCTGAATGTATTTTATACACCTAACTTCGTTGTTGTTGTTGTTGTTGTTGTTGTTGTTGTTGTTGCTTGTGTTCCTGCTGACTAAGACTTTAATGGGTGTGTAAAGTGGACTGAAGCATGAGCTCAGTGTGCAGGTTACCCAGCAGCAGGATCTTTATTTCCCTCCTCTCCTTCTTCTTCTGCTGCTTGAGGATCCTCTGGATCTCCTTGTCCACAGCAACCGAGGTCTTCTCGTCCTCGGACAGGCAGCACACGCAGGTGCGGCGGCACCACCACCAGCAGCCCGCCATGGATGGAGCAAACCTCTGAAATCAACCTGTTGCACACAATAAAACTTGCAGCTAAGCAACCCCTTATTCGTGCTCCCGTGGGTTAGACAAAGCCCCGTTGTGATTTATTCCGCCACACCTTGGGAATATTTATTGATGCCGTAAACAAAAACGTCCGCACAAACACGGGACCTTTAAACTATTAAAGTGTTAAACTGGCAAAAACTCGGTTTTAAAACATAGAGCTTTAACTTGGGTGGTGTCACTTTAATTAGAGGCTACAGTTTGTGAGTTTAATTAAGAGAAAAGTGTGATTTACAGCCAGAAAGTGTTGCTCCCTACCTCCAATCAGAGCTCCGAGCTTCCTGGACTCTGTACAGCAGCAGGTACAGGCTGCTTGTCCATTATCTCCCACCGTGTTTCCCCCACTTCCGCTCCACCTGCGGCTAACAGCTAGCAGCTCCTGTCATGGACGCTGCTGGTGCCGAGCCTTTAAACGCCTTTCACCCCACTAAAACAACCTGCCGCTCGGGAAAGTCCACCGCGCCTACAGAGGAATGTGCAGCCTCCTGCTCTGCTGAAAGCACTCTGGAACTGGAATGCGCTCAAACGTGAAGCTACGGACGATTTACGTCGACGCACCGGAAGCTGCTCGTCCGTGCGTACAAAATAAAAGCCGTTTGTCGACGTTGAACCTTTAGGGCAGGGGTCTGCAACCTGTGGCTCTGGAGCCGCACGCGGCCCTTTGGTCCCTCTGCAGCGGCTCTTTCAAGCTTTGACCAAAACTAACATAAAACTGAAGTTTATTGGTTGTTACACAAACAAAAATAAAGCTAGTTTTAAATAGCAGTTTTTATTTTTTTTAGCTTTTTGGTCATTTCTTTTGCAAATATGCTATTAGAACTAAGACAAGGAGTAAAATGTTACGTTAACGTTATCTTTATTTCTATACTTGTTTTTTTTCAGCAGTTAAGAAAATCACATAGGTCTGCATAGTTCATATTGTTTAAATAAATAAACATTGGTTAAAAAAAACAATGTTTTTTTCTTACAAGAAGCAGTTTTTTTTCTTTTGTTTTAAATTGTAAAAATATCAATGAATGTTAAAAATTATTTGATGCTTTTGGCTTTATAATATGTGGCCCTTCTTCTTCTTTCGGCTGCTCCCTTCTTCAGGGGTCACCAGCGAACTAAGACGCACAAAGATTTGGTCATTATTTTTACGCTGGATGGTAAATGGTAAATTGACTGTACTTATGTAGCGCCTTTCTATCTTATCGAGATACTCAAAGCGCTTTACACTACAATCTGTGCCTCATTCACCCATTCATACAGCACTCTACTAGATCTCTACAAAGCTGAACAAATCATTCTAAAGAGACTAGTCAGAGCTTTATCACATTCATACACCGATGGGACACACCGGAGGTTATGAGGGGTTCAGTGTCTTGCCCAGGGACACTTCAACATGTGACTGCTGGTGGATTCAAACCCCCAACTCTTGCATTGGAGGACGACTGCTCTAACCACTCAGCCACAGACCACCGAGCTACCACAGCCTCTGTGTGGAGCAGAGAGCTGCTATTTAAGGCGCCCAGGGGAGCTGATGGTGGGGGTTAAGGGCCTTGCTCAAGGGCCCAGAGTGGGGCAAATGAGGGTGAAGGCAGGTGTGGGTGCTTCACCTATCCCACCCACATTTTGCTGTTGTTGGCAACGGGAGTTGAACAAGAGATTGTCCGATCACAGGCCTACCTTCTCTAACTCTGCGCCACCACTTCCCATGTATAATATGTGGCCCCGCCCCCTACTGGCCACAAAAGCCCCCTCCAACAAATCTAAAGCGGTCCACTGGCCACCACTTGATAATCACAGTTGTAGCAGGTTGTTCAGCTCTGGACTCATTTAATTTAGTGAAGGAAGAGGGAGAAATGGCTTTTTTGATTGCAAAGGTTGCAGACCCCTGCTTTAGGGGTTTCAAAGTTCATGCTTAATGATCCAGGTAAAAAAAACAACAAAGTTAAGTCAGGTCATCTGGACGGTTTCTTTTTTGTTTTTATTGAGACACTTCGTCCTTCAGCCCCACAAGCACTCACATAGTGGACCAACCAGTTTGCTGGTGATAAAATGGTTTCTGGAGTCCGCCCTCTCCCCCGTCAACTCCTCTGACGCAGCCATTGCCAAAGTGGTTCAAAACATCAAAGTTCATGCTCAATAATCTAGATTAACAAAAATCCAACAAGACGTCTCAACAAAAAAAAGAAACCATCCAGATGACCAGACTTCAATTTGTTGGATTTTTTTTTTTTTTTTTTACCTGGATTATTGAGCATGAACTTTGATGTTTTGAACCACTTTGGCAATGGCTACCTCAGAGGAGTTGATGGGGGAGAGGGCAGACTCCAAAAACCATCCTGGGTTCAATCCCCAGTTGGACCTGCATGGGGTCTTCTGTGTAGAGTTTGCATGTTCTTCTCGTGCTTGTGTGGGTTTTCTCCAGGTACTCTGCTTTCCTCCCACACACCAAAAACATGCATGTTAGGCTGCCTTCAGGCCCAGGCCTCCCTTGCAAAAGAGATCTGTGATCTCAATGGGATTTGCCTGATTAAATAAAGGTTAATTTATAAATAAATAAATCCTATTACCTGATGGTGATAGGATGAAAATCTATCACATAGTGGGCCCAGCTGATGAAATCCTTTGGATGAAGGACGAAACGTCTCAATAAAATAAATTAATAAAAAAAAAAAAAAGAAAAATGAAACCGTCCAGATTCGTTGGTGTGTGTGTGTTTGCCCTTTTAGCAATTTTTTTTATTGTACAGGTGTATTTTATACAGTTTTATTAAAAAGACCCCAAGCATAAACCACCTAAAATATGTATTTGCCTGAGCATGCATCAGGATGTATTTGCCTTGCCTTTTAAAGTTTAAACATGGTCAAATTTGATGTGAAGTTTATTGCTGCTATTACCGCAATTATTTTATTGATTAAATAAAGGGAAACCTTATTTTTATATTTGAAAATAGAATTTGTTATGTTTAAACAATTATAAACTAATGTTTTATCAACTTTTGATCTTCCATTTAAAATAAAAAATCCTCATTAGACTTTTTAGTTGCTAATTATGTTTGTTTGCAATGTAAATGCAAATAATCTAGTCTAGTCATTTTCAAATTATTTAATCCATTCTGCTCATTTCTGCATAGATATCATATCAAATTCTTAATAAGTTGTTGGATATAAAGTTTTCATAAGTTCCAAAAGTTTTTATAAAACTTTTCAGATGAGTAATAATAGGTGGCTCCCTTTCTAGGCATTCCCCAATAACACACCCATAATCCTAAGAACTGGTCCTAATTTTCAGTTAAAAGTGGATATTACGTGCCAGAAGCAGGACTAGAAAGTTATAATTTACCTTCTTACTATCACTGAAAAACACTCAGGTCTGATTTCACAAGCTCGCAAGCTCATTCTATAAATATTGTTTTGAAAATATCAAACCGGAAGCAGTTTTCAATACGTGTTCCGACTTGACGGCGTCATGAGTGACTGAGCTGCGGCGGCGGATAAAGTTTCGGACCCTGTGGAAGCTCCCTGCTTCACGTTTCAGCTGAGTTCAAGTGAAATCACGGACCTGCGAACGTTTTGTTCTTATAAAACAACAAACTGTGAAAAATAATCTAAATAAAATTTTACTTGGACACCGACTGAGTGGATCTTTTCTTGGATTTTATTCCTCTAAATGTGGAAACTTGATGCTTTTAACAGATTCTGTATATTGGAATATTGAAAAGAAAAATGTTTTCACATAACAAATTATTAAACCCAAAGGTGAGACTAGCTCTTTATACAGCAGGATGTCAGGGCAAAGATAAAGCGCAGGCATTTCGTCGCTTTGTCTCCTTGGATGTCATTGTTTGGACCAGCAGAACCGGTTCTTCCAGGTTTTCATGAGTTCAGATATTGAGATCATCTGAGGCGTCCATTGCTACAGAAAAACTATGAGGTGGAAAAATAAATAATAATACAAAAAAGGTCTGTTTATTTTAGTTTTTTTTTATTATTTCACAAATGGATTTTTGTGGACTTTTGGTTTAACTTCATGAAAAAATTGTTAAACAATTAATATACTGTTTGAGAGCTTAAAGATGGGCCCAATACAGACATTATTCAAGAAAGTAATAGACAAAAAGACAATAATAAAGATTATAATCCTGCTGGTGAGCGACGGCTGGAGGAACCTACTTCATTCTTTCTGCATTAAGAAGTCAAGATGACAAAGAAGAATCCAAATCTTCCAGATGATGATCTGACACATTGTTTAAGTACCTCGTTTACTGGAGAAATATTTGCAGCAAGAGCCAAAGAGACTTTGTCAACTTTCTCTTTCCAAAGGTCTAGCAGAAGTGTTCTTTGGTAATCTGATAGCGCTCAGAGGATGTGTTGTGTTTGACTCTCAACTACTACCACATCAGATTTGAGCTCATTATCTGTATTTCTGATTGACTTATAGTCGTTTTTGTGTTTGGTAAGGTTGATTAACAGTGTTTGAAGTGGACTGACTCTAAATGTTGTTGAGTTTTAAATGCAGATACAATGTTTATTTTTTATTTTTTTAGAGTTTTATTAAAGTCTGTCTGGTGGTTCATTAGATATTTTGCTAACAGACAGACAGGGTTGACACTCTCGGTTGATGCCAAAGTTTTAAGCAATGTATAGAGCTCCGAGTATGTCTTGTGAAAAAGTCGCAGCTATATTAGCACACCACATTTTAAAAACTGCCTAAGCTGTAGCTATTTTTATGTTTGCTAGGGGTGGCTTAGCTATGGTGTCCATCTTGAATGTGTGTGACATACACGAAGGTGTGATCACATTGTTTTGATTTATTAGTGATGGATAAAGGGTAGCCGGCTTGGGACTCGAGAGTCCCAGGTTCGATCCCCAGTCACTGCACATCACGTGGCGTCTCTGGGCAGCACGTCTAATCCCCAAAATGTCCCCCGGGCGCTTTCAATAGCTGCCCACTGCACCACCTGGTGGTGGATGGGTTAAATGCAGAGACTAATTTCGCCATTGTATGGTAACATACAGTGCTGACATTGTGATGACATTATTATTATTATTATTATAATGAAAAGTGGCAAGGCCATTGAATTGGATTGAGTTGCTGTACCTAGTTCCACCACCAGAGGGCAGCACTTCCACTGAGAGGCTTTGGCGCGTTCCTTGCTCTGCGCTGCCAGACAGTGGTGCAGATACACAACACGGACACGCAGCAGTAATGAGTCTCTGTCTCATTTTTGTGTAATTTCAGGTTGGTAAAGTCAATTAATTGGATGCATATGAGCCCAATATAGTTTTGATTTTATAACATCTGTAATTACATTATCCATTCTTAGACCGTTTTTGAGTAAAATAACTATTAGCATTTCTGTGCTAGCAAGCTACTCGCCCTGCTAGCATAGCGGCTAATGTGTATTTAGTTAGCACTGCCTTATATGTGCATGCATATGTTATGTATACACCCACCGGAGATATAATAATTTGTTTTGTATAGTAATGATGGTTTGTGCTTGGTTCCAGACTACGGTA